GCGCGCGGCTGCGGGAAGGAACGTCTCCAGTCCCAGGGCAAGTCCGAGGGCGCGGCCGAGGCGCAGAAGCTGGGGGCGCGGGGCGAGCTGCAGCCCAAAGTCCGCACCCAGAGCGCTCTTCCCGGCGGAGCTGGAGACGGTGTGTTGCCCTCCGGGGAGGAGAGGAGGAAGCGAGTTTGCACTCCCCCGGGCGGGACGGGGTTTCCTCTGGCGGCGCCTCGGAACCCGAGTGCTGGCGGGAGCCGGCTGCGCCCCGCCGGCATCCCCCGAGCGGCAGGCGCGGCTGCAACGTGAGCCCCGCGGCCACGCCCTCCCGCCTCTCCCGTAGCTCCTGGCCGCCAGCTTCCCTCCGCCTGCCAGAATCCTCCTGCCAAAAAGAAAAAAAAAGGTGAACGCTCTTCTCCCGTTTGGAGAGCCTGAGGGGGCTGGGCTGGGGCCGGGGACTCTGGGGAGCCTGGTGATACTCGCCGGGGCAAGTGAGAAGGGCCTGTGCCTCCGGAGGGCAGGAGACAGGCTGGGGAGGGCGGTGCGCCCTTCAGGCAGCAGGGGAGGGGCAAAGAAGGCGGGGTCCCGGCGCCCAGGAGGAATCAGAGCTGAGACAGGTGGGGAAGGTCGTCAGCAAAGCCACCTGGGCAGAGCTGAGACGGGCTTAGAGCTCCCACTGCGAAGGGAAAAACCGGGGGTGTCCCCGGGCCAGCATGCAGGAAGGGACCGTTCCAGGTGTCCTGACCGAGCCGGCTGGGCCGCCCGGCGCCCGGCCAAGGGCTGCGAGGAGGTGCCTGGAAATGAATCTTCAGACGACTTGCTGCTGAGGTGCAGAGTCTGGACTGGCTTGGTTTCTCCTAAGAAGTGTCTGGGAATTCCTCGCTGCCCTGGCCCAAGGCAGCGTCCACGGGGCAGGCCATTAATAGGTCTGGTTCGTAAGTGGGTCCATTTGCTGATTCTATAGGCTTGTTTTTCAATTGTGTGTGGGGGTGCGTATTTCCAGGGACTGGCTTTGGGAGTCCTCTTTCTCGGCATTCCCAAAACGCTTTGATTGTATTTATCAGAAACCTGTGCCCCCCGGAATATCTCCTGATCCTTGTTCACGGCACTGCCGTCCAGCTACTCAGCTCAACTGGAAACTCAGGTCTCGGTCCCCAGGTGCCTCTCCTGCAGGACCTTGCAGTGCAACGGGCCTCCAAGTCCAGTGGATTCTGACTCCTAAGAAGCTTTGGGCCCAGCGACCTGCCCCTTCTCAGCGCTGCGGAATGGGTGGTCGTGTCTCAGCTCCCGCCTGCCTCTTCCTCCGCTCACTCTTTCTTTGTTCAACCTCCGGTGGGTCAGCAGAACTTGGAGGGTGCCATTGTCCTGGAAACAAGTGCTGAAGGTTGTCCACGGGCGACACATGACACGGGAGGGTCTTGCCAGCCTGTCCCAGGGAACTGGTGTCTGCTGATGTCCCTGGCTTTGCGGGGATGGTGGCAGATCCCTCTTCCTCCTTCTCCTCCTTCCTCTCCTCCTCCTTCAATGTCCATGCATTGTTGAGGTACTTGTTTTTGTCCAGTCACAGTCCCTTCCCTACCATTGATGGATAATCTCTTCCCCAGCTTCCATCTCATAGCATTTACCAACATTCAGGCCCATGCACACGGCCCTTCGCTTGCATTAAGGCCGGGTACTTGCCCTTGTCTAATTCTAGGGCGACATATGGAAACCCCCACCCCCGCCTCCCGGCAGGATCTCTGGGGACGAGTGCCTAGTTCTCGCATGAGCTAAAGTTCTGAAAGGCTCAGACTCCTGAATGGGGGAGTTTCACAAGTTCCAAGGGAGGCCGGGCGTCACCGCGGAATGACGGGGTTCTTTGCTGAGCGGGGGGTTCATAAAAGTAAACGTTGCATCACGTGAGTGCAGCACAGGCTGCTGTCCATACACAGAAGGCGAGCTGACCCTAGCTATTGTAGGATGACTGGGGAGGAAGAAAAAAAAAAACAGAAAAAGAAGTCTGCGCAGGAAATGTCTACTTGCATAGCTGGGAAATCCCAGGGGTGGGCTAATAGCCAGTGGGGCTGTATCTTCATTTGAGCAGAAACAGACTTTTAGAAAGGCTCCGTGTGAGTCGTGCCCCCAGTCTGTCTAGGGTAAACCTTAGATGAGACTACAGGCTACTGGCACTCACTCTGAAAATCAGGGGGTAGTTTTTGTTTTGCTTTGTTCTTTCCTACCACGGGCGGTGGAAGTCTCCTGTTCCATTGCATTTACTAAAATGCTTCCAGATTTTCTCAGCAGCGTGATTTTAAACGAATAGCATGAAGAGGGGGGGAAAAAAAAAAGAACTACATGTCAGAGGAACTCCCCAGATCTCTGAATAACAGTGGAATGATTTCTGGGGGCGGGGGGAGGCTGGAGAAAATTCTGCTCAGCCAGGGGGGTAGCAACCTACAGGAAAAAAGCATCGTCTATAGACGTGAACTCAGCCTGACCCATCGTGGGGGGCACGCGGAAAGGGATTTCTTGGCACGTTGGAAAGTGTGTCTCCATCCCTGCCCCTTTTCTGAACCAGAAGCACCTAGAACAAGGGAAGGCACAGACAGACACACGCTCTTCTGTGCTGGGTC